GGTGGGTGATAGGTTCGGGGAGGGGGGAGGGGGCGGTGGGGCGAGAGCCGCAAAAACTCGAACTTAAAACTTACACTCACTATTTTCTTCGAAAATGTATGTGAGTTCCACAAAAACGCGAAAAACAGCGTTTTGTTTTTGAGTGTGAATGGGTCGCAATCGTGGTTCCCGATTGCAGCGTTTAAACGCGTTTTTCCAAATTCTTGTTTGCTTGGGCGATTTTAATTGATAGATTCGTGCTGCTCTGACAGAACCGAATGAACTAGTATCGGCAGTAAAATTGGACCAACAGATGCTTGAAAAGCTGGAAGAGATTTCGTTGCTACCAATATCAATCTATGACACATCTTCATCATCTACAACCGAACAATCATTGAGGATGTTAAACGGAAGTTTCTTATGGTTCCAGATCTTCATTGAAACTTTACTTCGTATGCGGCATACAGAAGACGACCGACTTGAACTTGTTAAAGTCTTTACAGACTCATATGCAGGAAATGACAGTCAACTGCAGGTCATTCAAGAATTTGAACGAGCGTATACAAGTCAGAGAGCCCTGTGGTGGTACACACGAGACAGCTGCATCTACAAGATGCTAAACAAGGCATTACGCTGTCAAGATCTTGATACACTAATTGCATTCCGGACATTTATTACAGACATGTATTCTGAACTGAAACATCTTCAAGGAAGCGAGAACAATAGATCAATAGCACGAGTCCATCGTGGACAGTTAATACCGATCGAAGAATTGCAGAGACTGAAGTCGTCTATCGGACAATATGTGTCAATGAATAGTTTTATTTCTACCACTCTTGATCGAAATGTAGCGCTGTTCTACATTACATCATCAATGGCTTCCATTGCGAATCATCTTCGACCTGTTTTGCTTGATATTGAAATTAACAAATCTCTCAAAGATGTAAAACCATATGGTAATATTTCTTCTCAAAGTTATTTTATGGAAGAAAAGGAAATTTTATTCATGGTTGGATCAATTTTCAAAATCCAAAGTGTTGTTGAACCCGAATCAGATGGTATGTGGACGATAAAACTGTCCTTGTGCAGCGAGAACGATCATGAATTAAAAGAACTTGTATCGTATCTTCAAATGGATATGTTAAAATATAATCCTGATCTAATCTCACTTGGAAATATGCTACGAGAAATGTGTGAATATGAAAAAGCGACAAAATTTTTCCAGCGTCAGTTGAATCATTTAGATGATAAGAATTCTTCTGAAGCTGCATGTTGCTATACGAGTCTGGGAGATGTTGCTCGAGCCATAGGTGATTATGACTTGTCTATAACGTATCATAAAAAAGCATTAGAAATCCATTCTTATGTATCAAACAATGATCAGCTGATATCTATTGCCTATAATAAACTAGGTGCCGCTTTTCGTCAGAAAAAACAATATGAAGAAGCATTAGAAGTTTATCAAAAATGTCTCAAAATCGAACAAAGAAAACTTAATGAAAATCTCGAAAGTGATGGAATAGCAACGACTTACTATAATATGGGCATTTTGTATGAAGAGCAAGACAAATATGATGAGGCGCTGAAGTATTATAACCAATCGTTGATGATTCGAAAAAAATATTTACCTCCGGATCACTATAAGATTGCTCGATTATACAGAGGCATGGGCGAAACATATTATTATCACGGAGACTATGCATTGGCATTAGAATACTTGAACAAGAGTTTAGAGATGTGTGGAAAATCGCGTACAGAAACGCATTATGATTTAGGACTTCTCTTTCATCACATTGGGCGAGTCTACGAAGACACTGAAAAGCCAGATTTGGCACTACAGAGCTACGTGAAAGCAGACAAAATTTATCGACATGCCTTACCGTCTACTCATGAATGGGTAATGGAAAATCAGCAGCATATTGAAAGTGCAAATGCGAAATTAAACTGAGTCTTATGTTCTTCGGTTTATTTGTCACTAAAACGTGGTTCTCGGCTCTCTATTTCAGAAACAAACCAAACATTCTATGACAAAATAAGAAACAATTGTATTTTGAAAATGAACTTTTATTTGTTCGCATTTTTACTGTGACACAGCGAATGTCTTAAAATATATATTGGTATTCAAGAAGTAGGGCGTGGGTGTGGGTGGGTGTAGATATGGGTGGGTGTGGATCTGGGTGTGAGTGGGAGTGGGGTGTGGGTGGAGTGTGGATGTGGGTGTGATTTTTAGTCTTCATCTCATCCATTCCCCAACCCACACCCACCCACACCCTTAAAACATTCAAAAAATCTAAATTTACTATACAACATATCGTATTTATCCTCAAAACATTACTTAAAATTAAAAAAAAAATAAAAATTACATGTTCTTCGTACGAAAAAGGAAACGAATAACATATCGAATCATAAGCATTGCT